ACTGCCGGATTCCATTCGATCTCTACAATGCACCGACGACCTTCCAGCGGTGCATGTTGCCTATCTTCGACCGACTGGTTGGAGAGATTATGGAAGTCTTCATGGATGACTTCTCGGTCTATGGAGACTTCTTCTCACACTGTCTCCATAACCTAGAGCTCGTTCTGAAGAGACGCGAGGCGAAAAACTTGGCACTTAGCTGGGAGAAGTGTCACTTCATGGTTCGCGCAGGCATTGTGTTTGGGCACAAGATCTCCAAGTAGGGGATTGACCAAGCTACTAGAGAAAGACGCACCATTCCACTTCACTCCAGAGTGCGCAGCTGCTTTAGAGACCTTGAAGGAGAAGATTACCCATGCACCAATCATGGTAACTCCGGATTGGTATCTTCCATTTGAGCTGATGTGCAATGCGAGTGATTATGCGGTTGGATATGTTCTTGGTCAGAGACGTGATAAGCATTTACAACCTAACTACTACGCGTCGAAGACTTTGAACGATGTCCAGGAGAACTACACCACCACAGAGAAGGAGCTGCTGGCACTGGTGTATGCCTTCGACAAGTTCCGACCATACCTGGTGCTCTCTCATGTCGTGGTCTATACATATCACTCTGACATTCGCTACTTGATGACCAAGACTGACGCCAAGTCTAGGTTCATCCGTTGGATCATGTTGCTGTAGGAGTTCGACGTCGAAATCAGGGACAAGAAGGGAGCAGAGAACGTTGCTGCAGATCATCTTTCATGGTGGGAAGCCTCTCCGGTGGACAATTTTGTGGAAGAGATCAACGACTTCTTCCCAGACGAGCGATTATTGGCGCTGTGCTTGGTGGAGAGTGTCACTCCTTGGTACTCTGATCTTGCAAATTATCTGGTGGGCAAGCAGTTACCTAAGGGGATGGTTACTTACGCTAAGCGCAAGTTCTTCTCTGACCCGAAGCACTATTTTTGGAAGGATCCATACCTCTTCACGATCGGAGCAGATGGCGTGATTCAACATTGTGTGATGGAGCCTGAGATGGAAGACATCATGTCTCATTGTCATGAGGGACCAGATGGTTGTCATCACGGAGGAAACCGCACGGCGCGGAAGGTGCTACAGTCGGGCTTCTACTGCACACACTCTTCAAGGATGTTGACACCTTCGCACGCTTGTGCGATCGCTATCAGTGGTCAGGTAACATCTCCGCCCGTGATGACCAAGGTTTGCAAAACCGTACCGGAAGTCATACCGGATTCGTTGATGGTAGGGTATTTCGTGGTACGACCATGGTCCAACCGTTTTGTACCGGTAAAATACCGTTTTTTAAATAATAAAATATTTTTATGTAAAAAAACCGTGCCGGAAAAATCAGGCTACCGTTCCATAATAATACCGAAAAAAACCGGAATATATTGTCATATTATTTAAACTTTTATTTTTTTTCATAAACCAATCTAAAAGACAAATTGTCAAATTCTAATTCCACCAAATAAAAAAACTTTTTATTGGCCATATCACACGCAATCTCTCGTCTCTCTCATCAAATTAGGTGTCCATACTTCTCCACTTCCCAGTTCCCTCTCTATCCCCACTTCCTCTCTCTCTTGCTATCTGTCTCCATCTCTAGAAAGAATTCTAGCTCCATCCAACTTGTTCTACAGTACGAAGCATACACCAAGAAAATATAATCCAAATGCAAGAAATTAATACGATTTCTAAAACTCGGGCAGGCTCTACGGCAACAACGCGTCCACCGCCTACTCACTCTCTCCTCCTCCTTCTTCCGACGAACATGCAAAGAGAGGAAGTGAGTACGACAGTCGACAGGCTCTACGGCAGTCGGCGACCGAGTATGAGAACGACAGGGCGGTGGTCGGCTGGGAACACGCAAGGAGAAGCGTTGTCGCCGGAATGGTCCTACCGGGATTTCTGGCTTCATTATCGGTGGCCCGATAAATGCTGCTAAATCTTCCAGCCATCTTCTAGTCCCGAACAAACCATCTTCGTTTACCAAATCCAAATTTTTTTAATTTAAGAAGTCGACGGTTGGATAAAAAAACCGGGCGGTATTTCGCGGTACGCCGGTTTAATGGAAAATACCGGCCGGCTTGTTAATTTTACCATTTCCAGTGTGTCGTTCCGGATTTGCTCCGATATTAGGTTTTCCCGGTACAACCTGGCGGCACGGCACGGTTTCTTAATCCATGGTGATGACATGCCCCAGAAGACATTTGTGACTTGTGAGATTTTTTATGTCTGGGACATCGACTTGATGGGTCCGTTCCCTTCTTCATTCGGTAATCTCTATATCTTGGTTGTTGTGGACTACGTCTTGAGGTGGGCAGAAGCTCAAGCTATGCCCACCAATGACGCAAGACATGTCTGCTCATTTCTAAAGCAGCTTTTTTTCCCAGTTTGGGACATCACGAGCTATCATTAGCGATAGAGGAAGCCATTTTCAAGGGCAATTCACTAAACTCCTCTCTCGCTATGAAGTCAAGCACAAGGTGTTGGTGGCTTACCATCCCCAAAAAAATGGTCAAGCCGAGCTGACGAATCGGTAACTAAAACAGATCATCGAAAAGACGATGGATCAATCCCACAAGCATTGGTCCACCAAACTCGATGATGCTCTATGGGCGTATAGGACAGCCTATAAGACGCCGATTACTACTTCTCCATATCGGCTCGTCTATGGAAAGGCCTATCACCTACTCGGTGAGCTAGAGCACAAGGCCTTCTGGGCCCTTAAGCTGCTAAACCTTGATTTGAGCCTTGCAAGTACTGAAAAGAAAAATGCAGCTGGTAGTGCTCGAAAAGTGGCGTTATCACACCTATGTGAACACCAAACTGAGTAAGGAGCGAAAAAAGCATCTCCACGACGCTCGTCTCAAATGCCCAAAGGAGTTTCAGGTGGGTGATCGAGTTCTCCTATACAATTCCCGCCTGCGACTCTTTCCGGGAAAGATGCGCTCCCGTTGGTCTGGACCATTCATGGTCACACAGGTGTTCCCGTATGGCAGTATCGAGATCGCCACTCCGCAAACTGAAACGTTTAAATTGAACGGTCGCCGCCTCAAGTTGTACTTGGGAGGCGCGGTCAAGCGAGCGGAGTTGGTGGTTGAACTCACGGATCCTTAGTTCTGCTGGCTGCGTCTAGCTAAAGACGTAAAAGAAAACGCTTGTGGGGAGGCAACCCCACCTCAGTTTGCATTTCTTTCCCTTTTCCTTTTATGTTGTCGTCTTATGTTTCCATTTTGTGTCCAGTGTGTCGCATCTTGAGCCCGTTAACGGAATTCCACGGCCTGACCCCAAAAATCCCAAACCTGAGATTTTTGCCAGCGACCGTGGATTTCTCCATATAAAGAAAAAATCCGGATGCTGGCATCATTATCCCCCGATTCCTCTCCCCCAGTTCGCTCTCCCCTCTCTCCTCTCTTTTCTGCCCAACCACTCATCTCCGATGGAGATTTGTAGATCCTGTCGCCGTCCGACCTCGGATTAAAAATCCGACTTTGGACCCACTCCTCCCGCGTCGGGCGCCCTTGTTGTGCGATTTAAGGGGCGATCAACGCCGGAAAATTTTTCGGTGACTTTCTGGTGACTTTCCAACGACTTCCCTGCTTGGTTTTCACTGTCTGTTGCGTGTCCTGTGCTATTACTAGTCATCTACTTACGTCTCCAGGTTGGTTTCCACTCCTTTTTTTATTACTTAGGGGAGAATTGACGACTAGGTAGAGAACGAGATTTTTTAGTTGTTTGCTAATTGTTTGAGAACTACTTGCCATTACTAGGTTGCTAGTCGTGCTTTGAACTATAATGCGACTTGATTGTGTTGGCTCAGTGTCCCAGTGTTGGGTTTGCAATATAGTTTTATCTTGCTATTCTACAACCGGGTCTGTTTCCGTGTTTGTGCATTTCAGTGTGGGGGGAAACGCTTCTTCCCCATATTCATCTCCTTAACATGGTTTGCATGGTTACACCTTTTGCATATCTGTTTTTCAGGATCATGTCCCTTCGGCACGCCTACATCCAGGGTCTGCGTCATACCCACGACTATGCAAGTTCGCTACGGTTCAGGTAGGAACCATCGAGGAGCATTAGTATATCAACACTGTCTTCCTCCGGGATCTGTACTGTGAGGGAGACATCTGGAATACCATTGCCAACATTCAATGGTGGCGTCTTCTCCGCCTGTGCGCTTCCACTTACACCGAACTTGTGTGGGAGTTCTTCTCCACTTTTCGCATGGCGGCGGATCGCCCCAACCTGGCCCGTGCTGATGGCATCATGTGCCGACTTGGGTATGAAGACCAGGAGAATAGTGTTGACCATCTCAGCGAGGCACTGGGCATGAGTTTCCGACCTCTTAGCTACCATGTCTTCGAGAGACCAACCCCACAGGCGTGGATCTCTTCGCCTTCTACACCGCCATATGTTTGCCAGACCACCGGGTGGTGCATTCGATCTTGGGCGGACTAATGCCACTACCTTGCTGCCATAGTGGAGGATCATCCATTTCACCCTTACCCACTCGGTCTATCCCAGTGTCACCTCCTCCCACAAGATCACCAAGCAGGCGCTGTATCATATGTACTCGATGATGCAGGTAGACGACAACTTGCATTTGGGATCCGTAGTGGTGAAGACATTTGCCAAGTCGGCACAGCACCCTCGGCACTTGTTCTGTGGCGCCTTGGTCACTATCCTAGCCTAGAAGTTGGGGATCAACCTTCACGGCCTCACCAACATCGCCTCTACAGCTGGCTCCTTCTACCTTACTCGGGATGTCATCTTCAACCAGGGCATGCTGATGACAACTGACGGATATGAGTGGGTCGAGGGACTCTCTCTCCCTCCTACCGAGAGCAATGAGGAAAAGGTCGATGATACCTCCTCTGAGGACGAGCCTGTCCACGAGGAGCCCCTCTCCCCACCGAAGAATATGCCTCCACAATGGAGATTAAAGCGAGGCGAGTCCTCCTTCGGTCCTTCTGTTCCGTTGATGGACTTTTTCACCTCCTAGTTCCGACAATTGGCGATCGAGAACCAGCAGATAATGTCCTCCCAGCAGCAGTTTCAGGAGCAGTACTGGGCTCATCAGGAGCGGTACTCCGGTCATCTAGCCCAGCTGGACTACCGCCTCGACCGCCTTGAGTCCGAGCAGGGTGATCCATGCCCAGATTGAGCATGAGCGAGACCGCAGCCGCCGAATGATGGAGCATCAGGAGAAGTCCTGTCACTAGGAGCATCATTGGACTACTCCATGGGTGCCTTCACCCTCGCCGCCACCTCCACCCCCATTGGGCGACGATGATTTCATGGCAGACATGACCTTCTAAATTGACATCGACATCGACGAGTAGGTTGTACTCGTCGACCGTTTCTATGTGTTCTTCTTTTTATTTCTTTAATTTTGCGGTTGCTCCATGTGTGTGGGAGCTTAAACTCTGTCAGTGTGTTTCTTTTCTTTTTGTTTTGCACCTTGGGTGGCAACGATCCCTAACATTTCAGGATCTAGTGGTTGTTTTTGTGAGCATCCTTGCAGCAACTGGTCACTCTCCTATTCCCTCGCTCCTGACTGGTCCAATTTCCAGTCTTGCCGCAGTCTGTTCTTTCTAGTAACACAGTTTCCCTTATCCTTCCCTCTTCTCCATTGAGGGCAATGTCGAACTTAAGTGTGGGAGGTGTTTCTATTTGACTGTTTAGAAGTGTTTGTGTGCTTTGACCCTAGTCCATTGTCCAAATTTCTATTTGAGGGCTCCAACTACGTGTTTATGGAAATCACCTGCTCAGTATGCTTTGAATTGATAGTCTTTATAGTACTATGCAACCTAGAGAGTTAGTTGTAGCACTCTGGAGGATGTTGAAGTATAAGATTTTTCCTATCTTTCTCCTTGATGTACCAGTTGATTGTGTGATTAGTGAATTTAGGACCTTTGATTCGTGTGGTATCGATGACTCTCAGTGCTCTGTGTATGGACTCCTGTATCATAAAAGGGTGCTCAATTATGCGAGATGAAAAAGTAGTTGGTCCTCCATGTTGGAAATTCTAAATTTGAAACATGGGGTAAGCCCAACGTGTGTGGCACCGTTAATTGCACAAAATTGGGTTTTGGAAAAGATTTTAGTGGTCTTTAGTGGGATGTACCCCTACAAGGTGAAGCTAAGCCGTCTCTTGTACAAGTAAAATTTCCACCCGTTGAACAGTTTGCCTACTCGAGGATGTGTTTTTAAGGGCACTGATAGAGCATCCGACACCCCTTATTTTCATTGACCCTCCACAGGAATTGAGGAAAAGAGTTAAAAGAAGTACTCTAGCGAGCAACACATGTACAAAAATTGCTCTTGCTCAACCAATAAGGGTCGACCGCGCATAAAAACTGCAGTTTGGAACCCCATCAAAGTGAGAACGTGAAAAGCAAAAGAAAAAGAAACAAATAATGAGGAAAAGGGGTTCCAACGAATGAAATGGAATGGAAGAGCACCCGATATAAAGAGTCCTTGGTTGTTGAATTATGCGAGTCTCTCTATCAATGAATTGACCGTCCTAGTTCCACTACTTCGCATGATCCTGGTGTGAGTCTAGTACTCGCATTGAGCAAAATAGGGGACATCGTAGAAAACCGGTTGACCTTGTAAGTTGCTAACTAACATAGGAAGTCCTCTAGTAATGATCGGGGTTGCGTAGTGCTATAACGATATGAAGAATTGCACTGGTTTGAGTCAGGTTTGCTTGGGGACAAGCAAACGGTTAAGTGTGGGGGAATTTGATAACACCCTATTTACACATATTTTTCCCAACACTTCTAGACCGTTTGGTGTAGGTTTTGATTGCTTTTTGGCCTGTTTTACGCTAGGTAGTGCTTGTTGATGATGTTTTAGGTTTTGGCACATAAATGAAAGCTGAGGAGCAAATCTGGGTGCAACTGGAGAGCGAATGGGAACTGGAGGCCAGAGCAGCTAAATCCACGATCTGGTGATTCAAAATCCCAAACCGTGGATTTAAGGAATGGACCGTATTATCCGTTTAGGGGAAATCCACAGTCTAAATCCCCAATTCCACGACCGGGGATTTTCATGAGGAGATCATAGATCTTAGATTTGCCACTAACCGATGCGCGCCTTTTTCGGAAATCCACAGTCTGAACTCAAAATCCCAGACCGTGGATTTGGATCATGGATTCTGGCGTCGGGTTTTCTAAGTTGCAGCTGGTGGAAGTTATCTGAATCCGGATTTTTGAGTTCTAAATGGCTAGAGACAGCCCTGGAGAAAGAAAGCGACGAAGAACACCCCTTGGTTCAGGATTGGAGCAATCTGAAGACCTCAGAGCTCAATTCCTCACTCTCATAGTATCGATTAGCCTCCAGGAGCATATCTTCATTGTCTACATGATGATTTATCTTCCTAGCATGATGTTTCCTCTTCTCTCCATGAAGTAAATTCCATTCTCATCTGGGTATGAAGAACCCTAGTTTTGCATGTTAGGAATGGTTGTATGAACCCCGCATGTGAATGATTGATTTGATATATTCAATTGAGGAATTATAAGAATTGCATAAGTCTTGATCGAACTTTTGCGATTCATGCTTTAACCTAGAATGATAGTCTCTGCATAGGTTAATAGGGCAACCTTATATTGAAAGTTGTGAATCAATTACTTTAGTCGAGAAATCGATTAACTGCTTTGTACTGGAATCAAAACCAGTAGAGAAAGTTTGGTGTGTTATTTCCTTCGTAGTTTATGCCGGTGGAGGTTAGTCGCCCGCCGGGTATTTGAACCAAGAGAGTCTAGATTACTTTAGTCAAGATTCCAGACTTGTCAAGAACTTTTCGCAGTATATCTTTCAATCTGAACAAATTGGGAACATATAATCTGAACTAGCTGCATACTAGGGAGAATCATACCTGGATGACCTTTGACATACTTGAAAAACCAGAACATTTCTTGCTTTCTGTTTACTTTGCGATTGAACAACTCACTACACTTAGTTTGCTAGATAATAGAAGTTTGTGGAGTAGGTAGTAGATCTAGACCCCGGGTTGATAAATTGAACCTTACTACTATTCTGCATTTCCATTCTACGATTATACTTGGTCGTAGTTTGGTGTTGTGTTTTAGCGAGTCACTCTTAAACTATCTATTAAGCCTTGTAAACCCCTTATTGATAGATTGACTGCAAAGATAACCAGGTGGAAATCTAATTTCCTCAACTATGCTAGAAGACTCCAAGTGATTATGGTAGTTATGTACATATTAACCCAATTTTTGGATCACAACGATCTGTTTTGACGAGAAAACCAAATACCACTGGCGGTGCCGAATTTGTTTCCGGCAATGTTGATTTGATGTTCCGCGATGAAAACTCTTGCGGTGCTGTTTGATCGGACGCACCACTGAATGATGAAATCGACGTGACCGTCAAATATCCACCGTCGGGCGTCAGGCGACGTTGATTTGATCGATGCACCTCTGAATGCTGAAATTAACGTAACCGTCAAATATCCACTGCCAGGCGATGTTGATCTGATCTATGCACCTCTGACTTCTAACCAACGCGACCGTTACTACGGTTCGCACCTCTCCAAACTACGTTCGAACGAGGGTGTTTGAGTTTTTTGAGGAATCTACGCTACCGCTGCTCCTATGGAGATTCCTGTGGAGAGCTCCGCGACTACGACTAAGACTACAACTATGGAGATCCTTCCTGGAAGGAGAGCTCCGCGAAGGAGTTACAGAGAAAAAGGTAAAGTTTGAACAGATGTGTTTCTGTGTTGATTTGGTTGTCCTTTCTCTCTCCTTGCTCTAGTGCTTTTATTCAAAAAACATCTTCCTAGTCTTCACGCTCCGTGAAACCGCTTCCCCAACTGGTCCGTGGTGAACTCACACGTGTCTCAACCACCTTGATTATCTCCTCTTCGCTCTAGTTGGCGTGAATCTTACATGAAAGAACAAATCGTCGGTGCACCGCTGTAAACTGCCGACACTGCATCTACAATCTCCACTTTACCCACATGAGACACACGTGTGAAGTAACTAAGCCCAGGACCGGTATCGCGGTTTGAACCGCGACGCTGTTATTTCATGGTTGCAATACCGTCATGGATTTGAGCCACAAAATTATTAACAAAATCGCATTATTAATTGAAATCGCACCCTTGCAAGACCTGCAACGGTGTTGGTAATTAAACTCCACGCCATTGTCGGACTCGAGACATTGCATAACTAACCTCACGACATCGCTGAGAACGGTGTTGTTACCCATCGCGATGTTGTTGAGCTCGCATCACTGTCACAAATTGAATTTATGACATCGATTAACTCCGTGACATTGTTGACCGCTGAAATTGTTTACCATGTGGCGTCGTTGGATCTCACGCGATGCCGTTTTCTTCCCCAAACAACTCTATCAGCTTTTTTACTCCACGACATTGTTTTATATTAAACATTGTCGTTTTCTAATCCGCGGTGTTGTTTTCTCTCGCGGCGTCATTTTCAGCCAAACAACATCGTCTAAAATAATTATTAAAAAGATTAATTAATTAAACCGGCTCATTATTGTATTGTCATCCCTCGGCACCGTTTAATCTTTCCGCTGCATCACTTTTCACTAATCGATGCCGACCTTGAACTGCTTCGTCCCGGTCCAATCAAACAATGTTGTTTTTCATTCCGCAACATTGTTCTCTACCAAACGGTACTGTTTTCCTCGTCTTGCGGTGCCGTTGAGCTTGTCGGGCCGCTCGCCAAAATCCAACCCGTTGTGGTATGGTTTCTAACTAAACGGCATCGCTTAGTAATACCGCGACGCTGTTGATGTCTTAAGAGGTGTCTTTTTTAGCTAAACAGCACCGCTTGATTCTACCAGCGACATCATTTTAATATTAAACGCTGTCTTCCTAACTACTGTGGCATTGTTGGGCTTACTCGCGGTAATGTTTCTAAATCCGCAGTATCTTTTACCCATCCGCGATGCCGCTTGTCTTCACGCGGTATCGCTTCTCCCCTTTCGACAAGGAGTAAAAAAAAATCATTTTCCAACAGCAACACTAACCGTGCGGCCCATATCAAGTGTCGCGGTATCGTTGAGCTTCCTTGCGGTATCGTTTTAACTCTCCGCGATGCCGCTCGACTCCAAACGACACCTTTTTTACCAGCGGTATCGAATTAAATTCTGAGACTAATTAATGTGGCATTTAATTGAATAAAAAATAATTTTAGGTGTAAACAATGCCCCACAACTTGATTTATAA